CTTTCTCTGTTGATTTCTTTTGATTTTTCTTCTATTTGGCTTGATTGAGTGATTCTTGTTCTCTTTTCTTCTTTTGTCTGGATGTTTTCTTTTTTTCTGTGTGATGAATTGTGCTTTCTTTCTGTTGTTGCTTTGTTTGTTTTGCTTTGATTGATTGTTTTCTGATGGCTCTTTTCTCTGTTGGATTTGTTTTTGTTGTTTTTCTTTTTGTCTTTTGTTTTTTATTTGTTTCTGATGATTTCTCTTGTTGTTGTTCTTCTTGATTCCTTCTGGTCTGTTGATTTGTGAGCTGTTTTTCTTTCTTTTCTTTTTGACTGTTTTGTGATTGTGTGTTGAAAAAAACCTGATTTTCTGATTCTGTTTTTTTCTTTGGATTTTCTTATTTTTTTTTTTTTTTTTTTCATTTTGTCTTTCGTTTCTTCTTCTTTCTTTTCTGACTTGTTTTTTCTTTTTGTTTGATTTCTTGTTTTTGTTGTCTTTTACCTTGTTTTCTTGCTTTTTGGGATTTTTTTTCTGTTTGTCTTTGTTGCTTTATTTTGAACTGTGTGCTGTTTTTCTTTTTTTTTGTTCCTTTTTCTTTCTGATTGATTTTGTTCTTGTCTTTCTCTTCTTCTCTTACTGTTTTCTTCTGCTTTCTGGTGATTATCTTGTTGTGATCTTCTTTCTTTTGTGATTTGTTTTTTGATTTCTTCTTTGGGTTGGCTGTTGTTTTTGGTGATTTCTGACTTCTGATGACTCTTGAAGTTGATGGGACTTGTCTTTTTTTGACTTTTGTTGTTTCTCCTTGATTTTGACTCTGCTCTGTTTGCTCTGTTCTCTTGATTTTTTTTTCTATTCTTTGATTTTCTCTTGACTTTGCTTTGATGTTCTTTGTTGAGTTTTTCTGACTGTCTCTTATTTTGTGTCCTTTTCATTTTTTTTTGTTGTTTGCTTTGCAGATTTTGCTTTTCTGTTTTCTTCTTTCTGATTGATTCCTTTTTTTCTTTTGAGGTGTGATGTTTTTTCTTTTTGTGATTTGACTTTTGACTGAGTTCTGTTTTCTCTTGATTTGGATTTGATTTTGGTGGAGTGGGTGTTTTCTCTGTGATCTTTATTTTTGATTTTGTCATGATTTTTTGTCTTGTTTTTTCTTGTGACTCCATACCTTCAGGTTGTGTTGCCATATCCGTTGTTGAACCGAAGTTTCCAGCTGCTGACATTCGTACTGTATTGTTCCTTACTGTTAAAGGTGCTGTTCCATTGGAAATGGAACTTGATTCTGCTTCTCCAGTTACTATCGTGCCTTGCCATTTTTATGAACGCTACCTATCACAGCACACTTTACATCCCACCTCACATTCATTCTGGAGTTATAGTGGGAACACACTAACCATATTAGGATATATTACCGTGCCTTTGCAGTTGCATTCTGTGGTTGTCGATGTCGCAGTGTATATTTCTTCGGAAAACAGACTACCCTTGCTTGGGAGGAATGCTATGGTGGCTTTGCACATTGTACCATCATTCGACCGCATGCTTATCTCTTCCGTCAACGTAGCACACTGGCAGGAACATTATCCGCAACTATTCTAGAAGTCCATCGGCCGTATTCCATGTGGTGTGCATCGAATTCAGCTGAAACCGAATGCCGAACCGATCCGCCATTGGTCAACCTCGACCCATTCCGCTAGCGAAACGTGAAGCGGTCTCTGCAGCCCTGCAAGCGATGCTAGCAAATGATTTGATTGAACCATCGATTGCTCTGAGTGGGTGCATCCAATGGTTTGTGTCATGAAAAAAGACGGTACTGTCCGGATATGCAACGATTTGCAGGCGCTGAACAAACAGATCGTCGTAGAACGCTTTGTTTTGCCATCTAATGATGAACTCACTGTACGTTTAGCTGGTGCAACTGTTTTTTCCAAGCTAGATTTGAAAAGTGCGTTTTTCCATATGCCATTGGCCGATGATTCCAAACACCTAACTGCCTTCCTTGCTCCCGATGGTCTATTTCAGTACAAAGTCTTACCCATGGGTTTGAGTTCCGCGCCCACCGCCTGTCAAAATCATGACTCCCACCCTGGCAGGTATCGATGGGCAGGATGCCAACATGGATGATATTTGTGTTTTCGGCCGCGCACAGGAAGAACATGATGAAAGGCTACACAAAGTCCTCCAGCGCCTCAGTGATCTCAATTTGCGTCTGAACGCAGAAAAATATCGCATCAATGCACCAGAAATTCAGTTCTTCTGACACGTCATTTCACGCAGTGGTATTCGACCAAGTGATGAAAATATAAAGGCCAACTCTGAAGCGCCAACACCCGAAAACTTGACAGAGCTAAAGTCCCTTTTAGGAATTTTTTCTTATAACCTGCGCTATCTGCGGGATTTTGCGACTGGGGCAGATCCATTATGACAGCTAATAAAGAAATGATCTTCGTTCGTTTGGGGCAGCAATCAGCAAAATGCCTTTGACGAACTGAAAAGGAGAGTTGTGTCTGCTCCTTAGTTGCCATTTTTGGCGAATCTTGCCGCACCTTTGTGTCCACTGATTCGTCTGATGTAGGTCTCGGAGCTGTTCTCTAACAAATACAAAACGGAGAGGAGAAAGTTATTGCCTACGCATCACGATAGCTATCAGATTCCCAACGTCATTATTCAGTTGGGGAAAAAGAAGCCCTTGCATGTGTGTGGGCCTGCGAAAAGTGGCATTTATTTCTGTTCGGTCGTCGTTTTACTCTGCGTACTGATCATTCAGCCCTAACAGCTATTCGCAGCAATGGATCTAAAGGACGCGCCCAACGCGGATCGATCGCTGATATGCCAGGCTCCTTAACTACGATTTTGGAATTGTTTACCTGCCAGGTTTGAAAAATCAGATTGCTGACGGCCTATCTCGCTTACCCGTGGGGTTGGAAGATGAAAAAGAGAGACTCAGAGAGGCGGTACTATTTTTCCGTCTCGGAGCTAACCTGTATGCCTTGACGATCAAGGAACTACGAAGGGAAAATGCTGACGATCCTATACTGCATGAGCTAATTGAATATGTGCTAGCAGGGCAGGCCCAAGCAATAACAAAATCCCCGGTGAGTTCATTCCGTATTATGCAATTCGACATGAACTCTCAGTAGTAGACGGTTGCCTGATGCGCGGTTCGGTGTTTGTAGCTCCGCCCCAGTTTATAACCAAGATATAGCTTGCGCATATGGGGGAAATCCAGGTATAGTTCGGACCAAAAATCGAGTAAGACTGTATTTCTGGTGGTCACGAATGGCATCTAGCATTGAGACATTTGTGGTCAATTGCAATGCTTGCCGATTAGCGGACAAAAGTTCTTTGCCCGTTAAAGCCCCGACACAGCCAATTGCTTACCCGATGGAAACCATGGACCCAAAATCGCCAATTGATATTATGGGCCCTTTCGCTACTGCTCCTAGCGGAATAAGCGAAATCTACTTGTTGCTACATGTTTTTTACAGTAGATGCCTGAAGTACACATGTGCGACCAAGTTACCTACTTCGGTTGTGTTACGTTGGCTTAAACAATTGTTCAGCCGTTTCGGTTTACCGCATGAAATAGTAACGGATAACGGGCCACAATTTTGTAGCCGCGAATTCGCAGATTTTCTACATTGCCATAACATTAAGCACTCCAGAACTGCGCCCTACAATCCTGCAGCCAACGGCATGGCCGAACGTTTAAACCGGTCCTTTAAAAGAAGCTATACAATCCATACACATAGGAGGTTCGGACTGGGAAGATGCAGTTTTAACTGCGGTTTTTTTCCTACAGAACATGTGACCACAGAGCCACGGAAGAACGCCAGCGGAGCTGATGCTAGGAAGGCCCTTACGCACAAAGTAAATGCTGCACATAAGCTTTTATCAGCGAGAGATGCCGAAGTTTCAAAATCGCATAGCATCTTTACCAAAATTCCTACGCTAAATTATCAAGACCAATGCAGCCCGGGACATACGTTCGCGTCAAAAGGCAGCAACAAAGAAAGGCACACCTTCGCTTTCCGCTCCACTGCGCATCGACCGTGCGCTTGGCCCGGGGCACCTATCGATTGGAGAACGGCCTAAGTGTCCACGCGCGTAGACTCCACACAGCTCACGGAACCAGCTAATCAGCCCGACCGATCCGCGCGCGAAGACCCGGCTGAGTTACCATTACCACGAAGCCAGCTTGCGTTCGGTCCGCGAGAACGGTGAACCCTATTGATCGCTACGAATCAGGTTGAGGCAGCTTTTCGGAGGGGGAACGATAATGTGGTCACCATGTTAGCAAGATCGATTGGCTCAAGCTCATTGGTTGGCTTGCTGACTATTACTATTGGTTGTGTGCGTCTGTCGCTTGACTC